TTTGAAAAAAGAAATTTCTGTTTCTTTCTATCAAATTTAAACAACAATGTTATAGGCTTCTGTAAAATCATTATTATTATTTTCAAAGTTATTTTCCATAAATACACAGAATTTTCCATCTAAAACTATTGAAAAATTTTAGGACTTAATAGAAGCCCTCTCGAAAAATTTTGGATGGTGGACAGTTTAGAAGCCCCAGGGGGCTTCTATTATGGGAAGGGGTTTAGAGAAGATGCAAAAATCCAACGTTTGCGACGTTCAATCTTGCAGTTTGTGAATTACGTCAATATGCCAATCAAACGAGTGGTATTCAGGATAAATTAACAAAGACACTGAAAAGTGGTTGTAGTACACGACCTTGGCGATCATATTTTACTATTCATGATTCATTAAATGATTCTTTTGAAGAACTCAATACTATACAACGTGACAGGCACGAACAATACCGATTATTCAACATCGATCCAGTTCTATTGAACGGAATTGTTCAATTGATGTGACCATTTTCAATGATTTTCGACCAACTTGAAATGACCAACCAGCCGACGTTGCAAAATGTCGTGCCCAGTTATTACCGCAAGATGAACGACACTCAAGTTAATGCGAATGATCATAAAATAATCAAAGAATTGAAATCAGAAATTAGATATTGTCTTGATGAAAAATATTTACCTTCGATTTTACAGATTCATTGGGTTGGTACGTATTTAGATCCATCATTTAAATCATTTTTTTTCGTTTCCGATCATTCATATTTGGAAACACAAAAGAAGGAAGTTCGGAAAGGTCTTCATATTCTTGCGTCTGATATCATCCAGCAATTCGACAGTTCTCATTCGTCACAATCACAGCATGTATCAAGTACTTCACCATCACCATCATCAAAACGCTTTAAAAATGATCCATTTGCTGATTTTCGTAATAAAAAAAAGCACACAAAGATCATCAATTAATGGTACAAATGCATTGGCAAAAGAATTAGATCGACAAATTCAAATATGCGAAAGTATGGAAATTGATGACGGTTATGAAAACAATCCATTCACAGTTTGGTACAATCACAAAGATGATCTTTCACTACTCGCCAAAATTGCAAAGTCTATGTTGGTGATTCCAGCTTCTTCAGCTGAAAGTGAGCGTCACTTTTCTATGGCAGGTCAAATAGTGACCGAACTTAGAAGATCACTTGATCGTGAATATGTGGAAACTCTTGCAGTATTCAAAGAATCATACATAAACAAGATGTGGTCGACTATCCCACAATCCAATGAGCAATTCTAATACCATTATTATTAACATTGGAATAAATTGACTATTTTCTTTTTCAATATGATTGTATATTGTTGTATATCTTATCTTTTGGTTATATTTTTTATTTTGTCATTTTGTTTTTATGAGCAATGATGAAAAGACAACTTGATAATAAAACATGAACAAGCATAACTTATACTAGAAAAGCAGAGTACTGAAGACTAATTTTCGATTTTGCATATCCTTTTAAGTCGGTAAATTTACCAAGGAAAAATAGATACGATCACGCAAAACTGCATGATACTCTTGAGATCTTATTCACAAAAATAAAATGTTCCATGACTCGCAAACATCAGGAATATCTTTTCTAGAATCTCACTCCAAGTTTTAATTATGCTTCGTCAAGAATTGAAATTCTCCAAGCTATATTTCTAAATCCTTTTCATAGGATCCAATGAGAAAACTTTAAATCCTAATCTGTTTGAATCTATGCTGTGAAGAGTAGAATCTGACTTCATCGTTTCTCCACGTGTTTTTCCGGTATCTGGGACGATTTTGATGTAGTCAGTTATACGGTATGCTGTTCAGTTTGCCGGAATTCCACTGGTTCAAGAGCATTCAGTAACCGGTCCGGTCGCTGGACCGGATCGGTTTTTCGATTTCTTACCGGTTTCAGCTGTGTCAAATATCATGTATTACCGAATGTTAGATAGTAGTATGTTGTCTCTCTCTCTCTTCTGTTATTCGATGTGTGTGATGAATTTTTTCTTTTCTTTCCTTCGTTCTATATATTGTTTTTCTTTTCTCTTGATATTTCACAGGCGATATCCCCTTCCCGTGTAAAAAAAAGACGCCTAAAAATCAGATTGAAATAGTGCCACTATAACAGATTATTAATCCTAAAATAATCGATCTTAACCTAATTTTGGTTCGTTTCTTTTACATGGGTTCTTCTGTATCATCGCCTATGGAATTTTTCATTTTATGGATTTTCACACTTATTTCTTATATATATAGTAGTTCGTCTGTTGTAAGAAAGAGGAAAGCAGCAGATTATTCTAGTAGTTATTGTCATCTTACATTTCACATGAGGATTACACTTCACATCAAACAACTTACCAATCAACGCTGTTATCGAAGTCTGTGTGGATCTCAAATTCTCTGTATAGCCCATTTATTTCTGTACGATTTTTTTTCAATTCCGTCCTGCAGGACTCAAATATTATTCTGCAGGGCACAGGTCCTGCAACGTTCTCTGTTAGAGAACACTTCTTTCGCCCTGTCTTGCTCTAGTCGGTTCGATGTAATTGAGAAAAAGTTTTAATGAAAGAATCACTTGTGGCTTTCTTATTTTTGTATTGATTTGATCATTTTGATCAGAAAAAAACGACAAAACAAGAAAGAGTACAAAAAGCAAGACATACTCTTTTATCATCAGTGCAATGAGTTTAAACGGAATGAACACAACAAACAAGAAGATATCAATGATCAAGAAGTGTTTCATTCAACGGTGATGCATCACAATCAATCGGAAAAGTTCCAATAGATGTATCACGTCTCGGTATTGATTTATTAACAATATGTTCACATAAATTTCATGGACCGAAAGGTATTGGTGCTCTTTATATTCGTCAAGGAATTAAATTAGAATCAATTGTTTATGGTGCACAACATGAACAAGGTCTTAGACCAGGTACGGAAAATGTTTTATCTATTATTGGTTTAGGAAAAGCTTGTCAATTAATATCAAATAAATCTATATTAAATAAAAGAATTGAACAAATGAAACGAACACGTGATAAACTTTATCAAGGATTAATAAATAAATTTAATCATAATAATGATCAAGATTTAATTATTCGTAATGGAAATGAACAATGTTTACCAAATACATTAAGTTTAACTTTTCATGGAATAAATGCTAAAAAATTAGTTAATCAATTAAGTAATCGATTAGCATTTTCAACAGGTAGTGCTTGTCATGAAGATAATCAACATCAATCTATATCAACAACACTTCAAGCTATTGGTAGGATTACAAATTCTTTTATTGAATTGAGTAAAGCTACTGTGAATGTTTTTATTCATTTTTGTATAACTTTGAAGATAGTATTTTGAATGAGTCAATCACTTTGAGATATTTGAAAATTATATAATAGATAGAGATGAATATCTAAAAAACTTTTTTTCGCAGATCGCTACTTTTTATTATTAAATATTTGAAAATAAATAATTGAGGCTGATTTGAATATTTATTTTAATATCGAATATATTATAGAATTATTAATGATGAATGAAGTAAAGTACATAGAACAATTGTTAAAAAAATTCTTTAAATCAAATATATATTTTTCTATTAAAATGTCTTTCATGTAAATTAGCGCATAGCACAGTTCGATTAAATACAAGTTATATGACAACAGATGATGAAATTGATCAAGCTATTGTTATTATTACAAATGCTGATAGACAACAACTTTCTTCTTCTTTGATTAATGAACATCAACATCGTTAATTTTCTTTTTTTTTGTCTGTTTGTTCTAATAAACTTAACTAATTATCTTTTGGAGAGTATTATAATTTTGATTGACAGAAAGATGTATTTATAATCACTAAGTAGATAATCAGTACTAGTATGGAAAAAAAATTTTTTTTTCTCTTTTGAAATATGCCGATATAATGATCAATTATTATTATTTAAGATATATGAATATGTTCGAATAAAATGAGAACATTTACTTCATAGTGAATCGCACCTTTTTAGATTTATTCAATAAAATTTATTTACACGATTAAATAATAAACAAACAATAATGAAAATAATAAATGCGAAAACCTCGGATTTAAATCCGAGTGTTATGTGTACTTCAAAAAGTGAAAAGGTACATTCACTGTGCTTTTTATCACTAAATTGCAAGGAGAAAATACAGACGTGCTAAGTTAGCATGGATCATACTGTANACTTGCTTTCTTTCACTAACATATATTTAAGAGCAGTATAAGTTAAAGCACATTGGAATTCACCGAATTTACCAATTGCTACGGTCCAAGTATCTCCATAAGTTGCACAAAGCCAATTTCGAACATTGTTAACGATTTCTCACTTGTTTGATTCTCCATGTAGATCAATCGTAGTACTTATTGTGCTCAATATATTTATTTTCATGATGTCACTAATTCCACTTTCTTGTCTTACGATTTCCCATCTCTCCATAGTGACTTATATTGAAGATGTATCTAGAACAAGAGTTTTCCTTAGTGAAACAACCAATTAGACACACGAAAATGATTAAATTTGTCTTTTGAGTTATTTAGGAGCAAAATATACTTAATTAATGAAAGCAGAGACGATGTTGAAAACATATGATGTGGAGGTCAGGATAATGCATTGTTCATATATATTTTTTGAAATTGATTTCAACCAAAAGCCTTCGGTAGTGAAGAATTCGAATTTGAGTAATGTTTCGGCTCTATCTTTGTCTGTTATAGTCAATTTGACTCTTTGAATGTTTACGAACTGAAAAAAAACAAAAGCGTGCAGTTATACGTGAAGTTTGCATTGCCAAGGATATCACCAAAAAATTATCCCTACGGAATGAGTTTTCTTCAGAAGAAAAAGGAGTGAATTTATCGATCAGTTATATATATCAAATACAGTATCTTCGCTTCACCTTCAGTTTTGAATCATTTTCTTTATAGTCAAAAATCAATAAAATTAACTGAAGATCAACTTGATGATAAATCATCAAACTTATTATTGGCACTATATTGATTCTCGAAAATTTCTTATCTAAATCAATAAATGTTATTACCAGTTGAGTTTTAAAAATTTAATTACTGAATATAAACATTTGGAGAATCGAATGAATAAGAAAACTGAGGAGGAATCCTTCGATTGAACTCTGTCTTGAGAAATTGACGTTGATTTCATAATCTAGTGTAGATTTTAGTCTTTAAGATCAAATTGACGCATTTTTTAATTTGGTAAAGATGTCTGTAATACTTCGGATTTCATTCTTTTATAAATATCCTCTTATACCCTTCAAGGAAACTTTTTCACGACGCAGAAGAACAACTAAAATTTTATTCAAGTTAGTCATAATTGTCAAACAACTATATTGTATTTTCTATCTTTTAATTTTACTAAGAAACTTCTTTAGAAAGAATAAAATAAGAAAATAATTGATTGATGGAAGCAGCTATTTTTCTTTTGATCTCTCTTTCTTTGAAGGATAAGTTCCTACCAGCTGAAGCAAATCTATGTAAAGCTAAACTACTTGCACAATTCAAAGTGAATTATTTAACTTCATGGCAACATGTTCCTAAGCAGTAAGACTGATAGAAGAAATATAACTCGTTTTGCATTTTATGACTAACAGAAATCAACTGAAAAACGGTTTGGGTGTGGGTGTGGATGTTGGTCATCTTTTCACCCACCCTTAAGTATAAAAAAAAGAATACATAGAAACTGCTGGTATTATTTGTATTTTTCTCACAGCTGATTATTTTCTAATATAATGAATTTCTTGAATATTGTCTGAAAGGTATTGGATATAATAGGTACACTCTGCTTTTATAATAATCTAACAATTCAGAAGTATTAAACTGGAAAAGAACTACATATACTATAAAACTGAATTGATCTATACATAAGTTCTCAAAAACGTAAACGCCTCATTTGACGATGCATCGATAATATATATACTGTAAACTAGAAAAGCATTTCTTGTGAACATGAAAGAATAGTCTAAGAATGTCTATAGGATTTCAATAAGATATCGTTCCATAGAAAGATTGTTGATTTTATAGAATAAGAACATGATAGACATACACAGTCTCTATCTATAATAAATATTTAAGTACAATACAATCGAAAGGAATTAAATCACTATATAATGTATTAAATAGAAACTATCCAAAGAAACCAATGAATACGAAATTATGATCGTTTAGATAAAGTCGCTATATACATGTCAAACGGTCTTGTTCAGTTAATATTATTTTATATATTTTTATATTGATAAAATCTGGAAACTAAATTTCTATTCGAATAGAAATTTGTATTATGATTTCTTCCTTATATACATATATGATACATTAAAACAAATAAAATTCATTTAATTTATTAAAAAAAAAGAGCTTTCTATTTAATTATAATATGAATAGAGTCCGTATCTCAAATAAATATGACATCTGTTATATCATGATTAATTAGATATATGCTAAATTTTAGAAAGAACAATAAGATGTATAGGTCAGAATTGAAAAAGGATCTTTTGACAAAATTGGAATTGATTTCGGCATATAATTACAAATAATGTTTTAACAAATGAAATCAAGTTTCTGTTATGTATAATATTGAAGATTTTCTAAATATTTTCAATTCAGAAAATGAATAAAGAAAGTTAGAAAATAGTCAAGTCTATTTAAAAGCAATATTCTACCAAGTAGAATTCATTTCTAATTTAGAGTACTCTGTTGATACGTTAGACTTTACATATACATCGTTTATGATCTTTATTTGTTAAAATCAATTCTTTATCTGTAAAATTTCAGTTTGAATTCATTTAATAAATAAAAGATAACATTTTTCTTCTTCGTTATTCTTTTTTAATTAACTGAAATTAAGGAAAAATACATAGCTAAACATATATTAAATTAAGTTAAATTAATCCTTATCTAAATAGTCTGAACAACTTTTTATAAAAAGTTAGAACTATTGAAAAGTTTTGATTAGTTGCTGTAAATTTAAAAAGAAATCAAAAGTGAATGAAAATAATTGAACAAATTTCATTCATTCTGGAAACAGAACTATCCATATCTTAACGTGTTCCTATTCGCATTGTTGAGTCATTGAGTATGTCTTTCATTCTTTTCTCAATCGTTGAAACTTTCTTCCTTTTTCTTTCTTATTTTGACTGGTAATGTGTCTATGTACACATGCGTCATTTCTTTCTGTTCTTGCGCCATATACCTTCAGGTCACTGAATTATATGTGAGGTTACTGTTTTTCTCTCATTCCTATATAAGATGCAGTCTTTTTCATCACATTCTGTTTTTTTTCACTTATTAGCCGATAGAAATATACTTTTAATAACGTCAATATGACTGTTCGCGTTGTGTCTTACAATATATTAGTACCAATTTATGCAAATTGTCCGGCTCATTATAATAAATGTCAACCTGAATTTCTTCAAACCGATTATCGATGGAATTTGATTCAATCTCATTTAGAAAATGAAATAGTTCATCATGAAAAAACGATTATCTGCTTACAAGAACTGTCTCTTACTCTCTTACCTGAACTAGAACTTTTTTTTCGTCGATTGAATTATACTTTCTTTCATAATCTTTATGGTCAACGGCATAATGATTATATGGGTGTAGGCATGGCTATTCCAGTGTCCATGCAGCTTAATTCAATTTCTTTTATCAAAATTGGAGATCATATACACTCAATAAGTAAACCTTATGAGAAAAAAGTCAATATCTTTACGTGGGGATGGAACCTCTATCAGTTTGTCATGAGAAAATTTATACAAATAACATCTGATCCATGGGAAATTGCCATGGCTAAAGCCAATACTCTTATTTGTATGCAAGTCATTATTGATAATAAACCACTATATATTGGTACATACCACATGCCTTGTCTTTACAAACAACCTGATGTCATGTTAATCCATTCTTCGGTTGTGAAAGATTTGATGTTTCAATTAGCGGCTGGGGAAAATTTTATTCTAGCAGGTGATTTCAATATAAAACCATGGGATATCTGTTATCAAGCTTTAACAGAGAATAATTATGATGGTTGCAATTTACCAGAATCGAATACTTATGAAATCTGTTATCGAGTCAATCGTGAACAAGTATTGAAGAGCGCCTATCGAGAGAAAAATGGAATCGAACCTGTTTACACAAATTTTTCTAATACACCACCATCACCAAATTTTTGCGCTACATTAGATTATATTTTTTTTAATGGTCATCTTACCGTTGAAAAAGTATTAGAATTACCAGATCATCCTTCTGGTGAATCATATCCTGATGAAACTCATCCTTCGGATCATCTGATGATTGCGGCAACATTTCAATTATCGTAATTTAAGAAAGAAGTTTGCAATTTTTATAAATTTTGACACGAAAAATTTGATATTCTCGAGGTAGAATAATTGTTTGTAAGGCGAATTATATTGCAAGCAAATCGATCCTATATTGAAATGAATAAAAATCGTAACAAATAACTACTCTCTCTCATTTTTGAAAGGGTGTATGTGTGACTGTCGACAGTTTTATAGATGTCTGATTTTTGTTAACTCATAATAAGATGCACATTTACATTCTACACTGATAACTTTTGTAATTAAATGATTAACAAAACTTTTCTCGGTTTTTCTTATTTCGAAAATGTTTATCAAACGATCTCGTCAATCTATTTGAAGTTTTTCCAAATATCAACATATATGTCAGCGTCCAATCTCAAATTCACCTAGGCGAATCTTAGATCTGAAAATGGATTAGTCGAAGGTCGGACCGAGAGAGAAGTTTTTACTGAAACCTCCTTTAGTCCTTAGGTAGATATTAGATTCAAACTCTCATTAGTAAACTGTGTTAGAACGATGGCACTTCTGATAAAACAATTGTTGCCGCAGAAATTAATAGTAAAATTCATGAAGTTATGAACATTTTTCTACCAATGCACAGCATTGATGGAAAATTATTCATAACTTTACGAACTCTAATTTAATTTCTGCATCAACAATCGTTTTACCTGAAATGTCATTGCTTCAACATAGATCATCAACCAGAATTCGAACGCAACATCTGTTTAAAGATCAATGAAGGTTTTAGTAAAAACTTCTCTCCCGATCTAACATGCGACTAATCCATTCTCGGATCCGAGATTTGCCTAGGCGAATCTGAGATTGGACGCTGACATATATTTTCGAATATATTACTATTTGAAATGATGTCAACATTTTAGAAGTTTCAGAGATCTTTTTAGAAATATTCGAAAGCTATTTTATAAATTTCCGACAAACTGATATTTTTCTTTGAGAATGTATTTAGCAGAATGTGAGTAAACGAAGATTAATACATTTCACATTCATATCCTAGTCTTGAAGAGAAGAATTGATACTAATGCATATCTATGATCATTGATAATTTATTTATTCTGTTGAATAAAAACTCCAAAACGATTTCGAAAAACAAAAATGATTTATGCTTCAACAAGAATTCTTTCGATACTTTCTAAAAATAAACCTTGAAATTGTCCTGGCTGCATTTGTGGCATATTTAATGATAAATTATATTGAGCATGTGATTGTGTAACAATATTCGTTAAATCTAAGTAGAATCCGATAAATCGTTGTTGATCATAATGATCACGTGTATTATAACTTTTATATACAATAATTGAATTATTATTGATTTGAGCAGTTAAAATACATATAAACAATAAAAGACGATGTAGTTCCAACCATGATGCATCATTTAATTCTTTGTCTGTCCATTGAATAGGATAGTCGAGGGTGTGGGTGGGGTGTGGGTGTGGGTGTGGGTGTGGGTT